AGGGGGGCAAGGGAGAAAGAAGGCAGGTGGAAAATCGAAGTGTAAGAAAAGAAGCAGGAGGAGAAGACTTGGCGAGGAGCGCGCTACGGAAGCCATGTTGATCCTTCGGGACTCTGAGCTTCGCCAATCAGATTCGTCGCGCAATAGGCAGATCCTATCGTACCACGCGTCTGATTGGTGGGCGAGAGTAATCGAAGGTTCGACCGGGCTTCCGATTCACGGCGAAAGGAAAAAGGGCGCAAGAAGTAGCGCAAGACGGGTCCAAGATTCAGATGATCAAGAAAGGGAAATGGGCGCGCAATCGATCAGGAAGGAGAGAGAGAGGGAAAACAGTTGCGAGAAGGGAGGATGAGAAGGGGGGAGGAGGAAAGAGCGTGGGAGAGAACGATGCGGGAAACAGAGGGGGGGGGGGGGGAGAAGAAAGCTTCGTATGTGTGGCGCCGTCAACAAAAAGAAAAAGAAAAAAAGGCACCGAAACAGTTACAGCTTGCCTATGTCCTAAACCAATTCAAAATTAAAATCACCATATCTGCGCGCGAAAAGGACGACGCTGGAAAAGAAAGTCCTACGCCTATTCGTATCCTTACAAATTTCCGAGAGTTTTCCCCAACGCGACTGAAAACATTCACACACAAAAAGGACACGTCGAAGTTCCGCTTATCCCGGAATTCCCAACTGCCGGGCCCAATTCCCAGTGCGCTCGCTAAGGCGCGTATAAATTCCTATGCATTTCCCGAATTGCAAAAGAAAAAGCAGAACCGAAGAATCATAAAAAGCTTCCGGAAGATGGGGGCCCAAAACGCGGCGCCCGAAATCAAGAAAACAAACGGGGTGCTTGTAGGGTCGGTATGATACAAGAAAAATTCAAACCAAAGGGGTACGAAAGATAGCACGGGTTCGGGAAGTAGTTCGCGCAGGGGGGTTCCAAAATTATGCGATCTCCTGATTGCATGTCACGACGGAGAAGGAAGGAGGGGGAAGAGTGATGCATGAGGAACCAAGCAGATAATCGAGCCAGAGTTCATGTAGACGCCAACTTCAATTGCAATCTCTTTGTGAGTCTACTGGCTCGTGCTGCTGGAATCGTCGGAGGTCGTCCAGGTGACGCCATCATCGTCCGCTGGTTCTCCATGTGCTCTGCACCCCGGCTCGTCGCGGCCCGTCGAATAAGAGCGTAGGTTGAGGTCATCGTTGATGGCGTGATCTTCACGAAGCTTACTGATTCGTGTCGTTCTCCCCTGTCGATTGGGTGAAGGGAGGGGGGGGGGAATAGTCATGCGATTGGGTTTTACCGCCTTGTCCCGCAAAACCCGCAGTATTTACTCTTTTAATTGAATGCAGAAGCCGTTTTTTTTTTAAAAAAAAACAAAAAAACATATCGTTTCACTCAATGCCATCCACTTTCTGTAGAATGTTGCTCAGTCTGAGTGGCATACAGTTCACATATGTAGGACGTGTTGGCATTGTTTGATTGATTGTGGAATAGAGTAGAGTCGTAGACTACTGTAGATTGGTGCTCGCAACGTTAGTCTAAGAATAAACTACTAAACTGCAGAGCTGGTAGAGCCGAGCCGAAGATGAGAAAGAGGATTGTAGTCGCTGAAAAACAGTCATGGCATAAGCTTTGCCTGGCAGGAGAGCCTCGCTCAGCTCATAGCTGCGGCAATTCTTGTATAAGGGCTTGCTGGCTTTCATATCAATAAAGATTCATCCTTTTTCAAAGAGAAGGAAAAAGAAGAAGAAGAAGAAGAAGAAGAAGAAGAATGTTGCCCACACCTCCGGCTTGTAATAACATGTAATTTTCTCTTGCCACAAAAAAAAAAAAAAAAAAAAAAAAAAAACCCGACTTTTGCGCACACCTGTAGCTGATGTTATGTTAATCAGCCATGCCAGCGCCAGAACCTTGAAGGGCATTGCAGTCAGATTCATCCAGGTGTGGCTGTAATTGCATCCAGGTTAGATTGGCCAAGGTGGGACTGTAATTGCTCACACTCGGACTTTTTTGGACTAACCTCTGGACGCAATTGCAGTCAGATTCTTCCAGGTGGGGCTGTAATTGCAGTTAGATACATGCAGGAAAGCCCTAGTGTGAGTATGCCCTCAGTTCTGAGGGAATTCAGACAAACCGCGCATTATTTATTTTATTAATATTAGTATTATTAATATTATAATATTATTATTTTTAACCGGCATTATTTATAACCAAGACATGATTGTTTTTTTTTTTGTACGTCAACAGAGTGTGATATTATGTCTATTACACAGAATTGCATGCATCCCCTCTGATGGCTGGAGGGAGGCAACAACAAGGCTATGATCGCAGGGGTCCCCTGTATAAGCCTTAGCAGTAGTGGTACTAGTGGTAGGTACTAGGTAGGTAGTGAAGGTGAATTGAAAGCATTTGAAAGATGATGAAACGATTTGAGAGAAGAGTGTAGCCTACTAGTTTATACACTTTTCTTTTCTTTTCCCCCTTTGTCTGTGTTGACACACACATAAATTCTTACAGTCAGGAATGCACAAGAGCCGCTGGCCACACGCTTGATGCGGCGATGGCGGTGCCAACCGGTTGAGATAGTCTTCGCGCCTTGCTCCCTCCCCCTGGGGCTTTAGCTAACACAGTTGTGAGTGTGAGTGCGGGTGTGTGTATGAGTGTGAATGTGAGAGTAAGTCATGGACTGGTTTCTTAAGCCCTTTTTTTATGTGTAGGTGCTTTATATGATCGACATAAAACCCGACGTGTTAACTATTATGGAGGTTTAGTCAGTACAATGGCTATATTCTGTACTATTTTCCTGTTTTTTACTTTGAGAGTGAGTGTGAGTGTGAGTGGGTTGGGTGTGGTGTGAGTGTGTGAGTGTGTGAGTGGGTTGGGTGTGGTGAGGAAGATGAAAAGGGAGGCACAGATGCTGGCAAAATTAGAATGATAGCAAGATACTGATGAAGCCATACTCACACCAGCACTTTTGTAAATGTATCGGACCACAAATACAGCTGCGCCTGGATGCATCCAACCGCAATCACGTCAAGAACCGCGTCGAAAAAGGCGTGGTGTGAATACGCCCTGGGAATCTCTCTGCCTAAGGTGAAATGCCAAACAGTGGGCCTTGCTCCACTACTTCTCGACACACACAAAAGACAAAAAATCATGGCGCTGTATCTTTCCATGTTTTTTTTTTTTTTTTTTTTTTTGGGGGGCCGGGGGGGAATCTTTCCATGTTCGAAGTGGTGAACCGAAAAAAAAAAAAAAGAGTGGTGAAGTGAGGCCCAGTGTCATATGCAGAAATGGCCAAAGAAATAGGGAAAAGCACAATTATAGGCTACTTGGGCCATCAGGCCGTGCAGACCAGGCAAATGGCCCAGTGGGTCTGACGCCCGGAGTACCCAAGGGGTGGGAATAAGTGGGGTCTTTTTGTATTTTATTTTTCTATCCCCGGGGGTGGCGGCTTTTTGTGTTATGCCCAGAGGAGCCCAAATCCGGGGTCTTTTCTTTTTCCGAGTGTGGGCTGTCAAGAGGGGGAAGGTAGGTATAAAATGGTTTCAGAGAGGCTAAAGGGGTGTAAAGGGGGTTTGCTTTCGAATCTTCGATTCCGTGATGAATTCCAATAAGAATGCTTTGATGTGAGCAGCAGAAGACCTTTCTCGAAGCAACTTGCACATACTTTTAAGTCAGATTAGAATGGCTCTGTTCTCTAGTTTTTTAATTATTATTATTATTATTATTATTATTATTATTATTATTAATTTAGCTTAATCTTACGATCATCCCGTCCTCGTGATCATGATGCCATCATCATCATCAACACGATCGCAAAAAAAAAAAAAAAAAAAAAGATTTATCCCCCTTGAATTATTCTGGTGAATCTGTTTGTCGTTCGGCTTGTCTTTTTTTGTGTCCTTTTTTTTTTTTTTTTTTTTTTGGGAAAATGTCCTTTTTTTGTAGCCGTGAATGGGAATGTTTTTTTTTTTTAGGTGAGTGTGAATTTGAATGTGAAAAATGTGAGCAGCGGAAGTCCTTTCTCGAAGTTCATTCTCTGCTCTAATTAATGTGCTTGGAAGATGATTATGGTGTGACACGTGTCAACTGATGGAACCATGTGATGCTGACGTGGCCGATTTCATGTTGTGGTTGTTGGTTTGACACGTGGCCGATCAGATCAAGTTGAGTCGTGCAGATCATCCGTCATGGCACTGCGCGCCGAAGAGGAAGTGGACGGATACTTCACCTGGCTTGAGCTGCTAACGACACATTCGTTGATTGATTGATTGATTGATTGATCGATCAATCTATGAAGTAGAGACGTTTCTTCATTCCGTTAATTCCCGATTCTTTGAGGTCGTTCGTACTCCTCTCTCCATATGGTACACGTGGCGATGCAGTATCAGTCGTTGGATTATTAGTCGATTTAAAATATATATTTTCGTTATATATATATATCGTCAAATAGAACTGCCCGGTAAACCGTAGGCAGAGAGGGAGAAGAGGACAACAAACGAGGGGCTGTGACAAACTGTTTCGTCGGAGTTTCACCGACTCATCAAANTTTTTTTTTTTTTTTTTTTTTTTGTAGTGGCGACGTTTACTGAAAGGTACCTGTGGTACATCTCTTTTGGCGCAAGTCTTTCTTACCAGTTATTAATTAATAATAACCTTTGTTTTTCTAGTTTTTTTTTTTTTTTTTTTTTTTTCAGAGATGGTTCGGGATCGGACGGCGCGCACAGATTTGGTGCTTTCTTAATTTCGAATTTTCTTTTCCCCACCTCGGACTTCTTGCCCACAAATTTTCACCTATATTGTAATTTTGGATAAATCCAAAAAAAGAAAAGGGCAGGCAGGGCCTCTCTCGTCCTACTACCAAAGAGGACTAGATTAAGCGCCCGAATTTGGATGGGTTTTGAGCACAGATGCAGAACTGCAGATCAATCGCGATTTTCTGCACTTCTCTGCAAACACGTCCAGATTCCGGCGTTCTATCGAACCCTCGTTGCTAGTTGGACAATCGCGATTTTCTGCACTCCTCTGCAAACACGTCCAGATTCAGGCGTTCAATCCAACCCTCGTTGCTAGGTAGTTGGACCTCGCACAGCTGCGTGGCCAATCGTTCGTTACTGCCTGAGTGTTTCTTTTCGTCGTTGCTTTTTCTGGAGATTGTCGCAAAACCGACAATTTTGAAGGGGGAAAAAACAAAGATTGTCGCAAAACCGACACACACAAAAAAAAAGCAAGCTCTGCTGCTAGGAAATTTTCAGACAAACGATGAAGTGCGCCATGAACTTCTCTGTTTGCCATAGCAGCCGCCATTGCTGCCACGTGGCCGCATGCGATCAGAGTCCTGCTGCTGTACGCCACGTGGCTGCATGTCGTCCAAGTTCTCCCCATGCACGCCGCGTGGCTGCATGTTGTCCAAGTCCTGCCCATGCACGCCACGTGGCTGCATTTGATCAGAGTTTTGCGGCACGCCACGTGGCCGCGTGTCATGGAAGTCGTGCTGCTGTACGCCACGTGGCTGCATGTCATCCGAGTCCTCCCGATTTTCGCCACGTGGCTGCATTCTGCCATTGCTCTGCGGCGCCCCACGTGGCTGCATGTCATACAGGCCACTTGGTTGCACTTCATCAATCTCCTCCTGCACGCCACGTGGCTGCATGTCATCAAAGTCCTCCCCCTGCACGGCTCTCTGCGATCGATGCTATCCTTCTCTCTGCTCCGGATCAGATTAATGGCGGGAAATCGTGGCAATGGATAAGGAGCAGTGCTGCTGCAGCTCGGCGCGCTGCTGCCTTATCTCAAAGATCAGCAGGCGAGTGTCTCTCCTCCAATTATAAGAGAGCAAGTTACGTAAACCAGAGCAGAAGAGGACGATGGCGCAGCAGGAAATCGGCGCGCTTATCCTCGTTGGGTGATTCACAGCAAGCGCGACGTGGCAACTCTTCCTGCTCCTCCTCGTCTTCCTCCTCCTTCTCCTCCTCCTCCTCCTCCTCCTCCTCCCGCTCCTTGTCCTCTTCCTTCTCTTCCTTCTCCTATTCCTACTCCTCCTCTTCCTTCTCCTCTTCCTTCTCATCCATCTCCTCCTCCTCCACCTCTTCTTCTTCTTCTTGTCGGATCGGTTTTCTATGCGCGGCGGTTAACACAAGAATGGCGAGGGTAACGGGGACAAACGGCGGGAATCTGCTTTCTGCCCGTTACGTTTGCCGCTCTTGCGTTAGCCGCTGGTGTGGTAGCGGGTGCTGCTTCCCATCTGCTACCCATTTGTCTTCTCCTTTTCTTACCCGAAAAGCAAAACAAGGGCGTTCTCCTTTTTCTCCTTCTTATTCTTCTTCCTTTTTAGGAATTTGTGTGGATTGTCTGAGTTGTGTCCCTCTTTCCCGCCGCCGGCTTTCCCGCCATCGCCGCCGAATTCCCGCCGCTGCGATTCGGACTTCGCTCCCGCCGTCATCTCCTCGATCTCGACGTGAGCTCTCACAATTCCTCCTCCCTGCTTTCTCCTCCCTCTCCCCATCCTCCTTCCCCGCCGCGACCGTACTAATTAGCACCACTTCCAGGAGATCTCTCTGCCCCTTCTTGATCGACTCTGCCCAGCCCTTTGCGAAAATTAGACGTCGCTCGAGCGGGATCGCCAGAGGGAGGTCCAATCGCGGCTCGGGCACGCCGCAAAAAGCCAAGGCGAGGGAGCTGAAGAAATCCAATCAACGCCGCAAGTATCAGCGGCAGAGAAGGCGGGAAACGGATACCGGCGGCGATGGCGGAGGAGGGTCCGATCTTGCCGGTGACGGTCTGGAGATCGACGAATCTAGACCGTTGATGATGGACCAAGCCATCGGACAAGTAGTGACAGCTCAAGCGAACTTCATGCGGGTACTGGTTTTGCGCACGGGTGTCCTTCATAACGACGACAAACAGGAGCGCAGCAGCAGCAGCTATGGAAGTGAATATTCCTTCTCCTTCTCCTCGATCGATGCATCCGATCTCCAGACGGGGAGGTCGGTGACGGGATCGCAACATGTTTCAACAGAGCAAGATGAGGAGGAGAAAGAAGAGGTGGAGAGGGAGATGATGGGATTGCAACAAGAGGCAACAGAGGAGGAGGAGGAGGAGGAGGAGGAGGAGGAGGAGGAGGAGGAGGAGAAGGACGATGTGAGAACGCTAAGGCGAGCAGGGACTCTAATTCTGAGCGGCGGGGTGGAAGAAGTAGAAGATAGGCTGGGAGATGGAGGAGATGATTTGGCGGGAAATTGTTGGTTGGACGATGGAGATGATTTGGCGGGAAGTGGAGATGATTTGGCGGGAGATGGAGATGATTTGGCGGGAAACGATTGTGGATTCGCCGGGACGGAGTTGCTGTGTGTGGTTCGTGCTTTGTTGAAGAAGCTGAGAAAACGAGTGCTGGTCGGTGATAAGGTGTTGATTGGAGGGATTGATTGGGTGGCGAAGCGCGGGATGGTCGAGAGTGTTGTGCCACGTGGCACAGAGATCGTTGACCCGCCGATCGCCAATGTGGATAACGCTCTTGTCCTTTTCGCATTCGACAAACCACACCTGGAAGCTCAAGCGTTAAGTCGATTCTTGGTATCTATGGAGGCAACGGGAGTGGACGTGAGTCTAGCCATCAACAAGCGAGATACGGTGGAGAAGGAGGTGGTCTCCCAATGGCAGGAGAGATTAATTGGATGGGGATACCCGGAGGTGGATGTGCTAAGTGTCATCCAAGGGAAAGGGGTTGATGGGTTAAGAGAGAAGCTGAGGGGTCGTGTGACGGTTATCTGTGGGCCAAGTGGGGTTGGCAAATCTAGCCTGATCAATAGCTTGAGGGAGGGCATCGCAGAAGGAGGAAGACCAAGTGGAGAGGTGGATGGTGCAGCAGCAATAAACGGGACATGCTGGCCAGATGGACAAGAAGAGAGGGTGGGAGAAGGAGGAGAAGGAGAAGGAGGACGAGGAGGAATTGGGGAAGAGAGTCGGGAGGTAATTGGTGGTAGTAAGTATTTGCAGCCACTAAGAGTTTCTGATGTGTCCGGAAGAAGTGGGCGAGGGCGGCACACCACACGGTCAGTCAACGCTCCCTCTCCTCTTTAGCGTTTCCATCTTCACTGTTTGCCCGTCAGTCCGTTGCCTGCTTCGATTCGCCTCTCTCTCTATGTCTCTCTGTCTGTCTGTCTGTCTGGCTGGCTCTCTCTCTCTCTCTCTCTCTCTCTCTCTCTCTCTCTCTCTC